GAGTGGGGCGTCCCACTGCAGTATGCTGCCGGGGACAACCACCAGGGGACGATCAGCTTCCTGCTACAACGAGACAACAACAGCATACTGAGACTGCTGGAGGACAGGAAGGTTGGTTCTCTGTCTCTCTGTCTCTCTGTGTCTCTGTGTGTCTCTGTGTGTCTGTCTCTGTCTGTCTGTCTCTCTGTCTCTGACTCTGTCTCTGTCTGTCTCTCTCTCTGTCTGTTCCCTAGGTTAGCCAGCAAACATGGCCCTTGAGGCTGTCAAATGTACAGTAGAGAGCAACTATTGACAGACATCAAACCACGACAAATTATTATTTCCAAAGGAGGGCAAACCATGAGGGAAGCATTTCTAATGCTAGATCATGTATCAAATATATATTGTCGCTGTCTGGCTGGCTGGCTGGCTGGCTGGCTGGCTGGCTGGCTGTCTGTCTGTCTGTCTCTGTGTCTCTCTCTTTCTCTTTCTCTCTCTCCCCCCAGGTAAGATGTGTTGAGGGCTAGGACCTGGTGACTGAGGAGGATGCAGAGGATCTGGTCCAGGGCCTGATTCCCTGGACATGCAAGCTCACAGCTCCCTGGGCCGGATCAGGACCAACGGATCCTACCTGAAGGTGAGGGTCTGATTGTACTGACCCATTTCAACTCACTGTTTTAAATGGGTTTTTTTTATTAATTTTTTTATAACTGTTTAAATTGGTCATTTGGTAAAGTTTGTGTGATTGGCAAATGTATTGTACACAATATGACATACATTTATGGCACATGAAAATAATACATGTTTGAGCATCTTACATTCTTGATTCCTATGAATTAAAGTCACAACAACATGTATAGTTCCTACATTAAACATATTAAGGAAATGTACAGATGTATATGAGGAGTCTGTTGTCTTGTCTCTTCTTTCAAGCTCTCTCTATGCTCCCCAGGTCCAGCCAGCCCCAGCCCCTCTCCCTCTCCCTCCAGCTCCAAGCTGACTGACCAGTCCCAGCCGCTCCCCCTCCAGTTGAGAACCACTGTGATAGTGTATAAACCAGTTGAGAACCACTGTGATAGTGTATAAACCAGTTGAGAACCACTGTGATAGTGTATAAACCAGTTGAGAACCACTGTGATAGTGTATAAACCAGTTGAGAACCACTGTGATAGTGTATAAACCAGTTGAGAACCACTGTGATAGTGTATAAACCAGTTGAGAACCACTGTGATAGTGTATAAACCAGTTGAGAACCACTCTTCTAGTGTATAAACCAGTTGAGAACCACTGTACTAGTGTATAATGTGTTTCATTATAACTTTCATATGACAGTGCTTTGATTATGTGTGACGTAACATTGCATTATTACATTTACATTTTAGTCATTTAGCAGACGCTCTTATCCAGAGCGACTTACAGTTGGTGAATACATTTTTTATTTTTTATACTGGCCCCCCGTGAGAATCGAACCCACAACCCTGGCGTTGCAAACGCCATGCTCTATCAACTGAGCTACATCCCTGCCGGCCATTCCCTCCCCTACCCTGGACGACGCTGGGCCAATTGTGCGCCGCCCATGAGTCTCCCGGTCGCGGCCGGCTGTGACAGAGCCTTAGGGACAGTATTTAGAAAAGATTGTGTCTACGTCAGCTCTGCCAGTCAGGACACTTAACTGTACATCTGCCAAAGCCTCCGATATTACAATATACATTGTATGATGCTTCATTCTAAAGTTAAATAAGTAAGTTAAAATTTGTATGAAGTGTTTATTGTACTGACATAGAGCCCCCCCCAAACCTTTCCCCCCTGAAAAATTTTGGGGGGGTTTTTTTCCCCCCTTTTTAAAAAAGGGCCAAAAAACCCCGACCCCTTTTTCCCCCCCTTTTAAAAATTTTTTTTTTTATCCCTTTTTTTGGGTTTTTTTTAAAAAAATTTTTTAAAAAATTATTTTTAAAAAAATTAAAAATTTAATTTTTCCGGTTTTGAAACCCTTTTTTTAAAAAAAAAAATTTTTGGATATGGGGGTTTTTTTTTTTTAAACCCTTTTTGTTAAAGTTTTAAAAAAAAAAACCCCCCCCCGGGGAAAAATTTTTAAAAAAAACCCCCTTTTCCCCCCTTTTTTAAAAAATTTTTTTTTTAAAAAGGGTTAAAATTTTGGGGAAAAAATTTGGGAAAAAAATTGGTTTTTAAAAAAAAATTTTAAAAAAAAGGGGGGGAAAAAATTTTTGGGGAAAAAATTTTTTTTTAAAAAAGGGAAAAAAAAAAAGGGGCCCCCTTTTTAAAAAAAAGGGGGGGGCCCCCAATTTTTCCCCCCCCGGGGAAAAAGGGGGAAAAAAACCCCCCCCCCCGGGGGGGGGGGGAAAAAAACCTTTTTTTTTTTAAAAAAGGGGAGGGTTTTTTTAAAAAAATTTTTTTTTAAAAAAAAAACCCCCCCCCCTTCCTGGGGGTTTCCAAAAAAAGAAAAAACCCCTTTTTTTTAAAAAAAATGTTTTTTTCCCCAAAACCCGGGAAACCCAAAAAACCCCAAAAGGGGGAAAAAAAAGGGGGGGAAAAAAAAAAAAGGGGGGGGAAAAAGGGCCGGGGGGGGGGAGAAAAGGGGGGAAGGGGGGGGGGGGGGGGGGGGGGGAAAAAAAAAAAAAGGGGGGAAGGGGGAAGGGGGGGCCCCCGGGGGGGTTTTCCCAAAAAAAATTTTTAAAAATTTAAAATTTTTTTTTCCCCCCCAAAAAATTTTTTTTTTTTTTTCCTTTTTTTTTTAATTTAAAAAAAATTTTTTCCCCCCCCCTCTTTCCCCCCCCCCCCCCTTAAAACCCCCCCCCCCAACCCCTTTTGGGGGCCCCCGGGGGGGCCCCCCCCCCCCCTTTCCCCCCCCAAAAAAAAAACCCCAGGGGGGGAGGCCCCGGGGGGGGGGGAAGGGAAAAAGGGGGGGGGAGAAAAAGGGGGAAAAAAAAAGGGGGGGGGGGGGGGGGGGAAAAAAAAGGAAAAGGGGAAAAAGGGGGGGCGAAAAGGAGAGGGGGGGAAGAGGGGGGGAAAAAAAAAAAGAGGAAGGGAAAAGGGGGGGGAAAAAAAAGGGGAGAAAAAGGGGGGGAAAAAGGGAGAGAGAGGGGGGGGGGGGGAAAAGGGGAAAAAAGGGGGAGGAAAGGGGGGGGGGAAAAAAGGGGGGGGAAAAAAAAAAAAGGGGGAGAGGGGGAGGGGGAAGGGGAAAAAAAAAAAAAAAAAAAAAAAAAAAAAAAAAAAAAAAAAAAAAAAAAAACCCCTTTTTTTTGGGGGTTTTTTTTTTTGGGGTTCCCCCCCCATTTTCCCCCCCCCCCCCTTTTCCCTTTTTTCCCCCCCCCTTTTTTTAAAAAAAAGGGGGGAAAATTTTTGGGGGAAAAACGGAAAATTTAAAAAAAAAAAGGGGGGGGGAAAAAAAAAAAAAAAAAGGGGGGGCCCCCAAAAAAAAAAAATTCTAGCTATTTCCCAATGACCCCTCCCGCCTTCCACCCAATCACCATTTTCCTGCCTTCGACTAAAAAAGGGGAAAACCCCGCGGTGGCAGGGGAGAGGAGGAGAGAGGGAAGAGGAGGGAGAGAGAAAGCAGAGGAGGGAGGAGGAGAGAGGGGGGAAAAACGAGAGAGAGCGAAGCGCGGCGGGAGAAAAGGGGAGAGAGAGGGGAAAAAGAAGAGAAGGGGAAAGGAGAGGGGCGAGGGAGAAAGACGACGAGAGAGAGGAAGAGAAGCGAGGGGGAGCAAAAAGAGCGAGAGCGGGAGAGAGAGAGAGGAGAAAAGATGAGAGAGGGAGAGAGCGGAGAGAGAGAGGAGGAGAAAAATCTATCTAGAGGACAGAAAGAGGTTGACCCGGATCGAAACAGGGCTGAAAAAAACAAGGTAAAACACCCCACCCCCCCCCTCCCGCTCTTTCTCTCCCATCCCTCCCTTCCCTTCCCTCTTCTATCTTTGCATTATGGCCACAAAACAGGACTGTAAACATTATGGCTCTAATACAGGACTGTAAACATTATGGCTATGAAACAGAATAGTGAACATTATGGCAATAAAACAGGAGAGGAAACTGCCTCACTCTTTTCTATTGAACTAAACTAAACACTGCAGCCACCTGTGCTTCTTTCATTAATAATGCCAGAGATACGGGGAGAAAACCCTTCGCTTCTCTCATTGTCTATGATTAACCGCCAGGATGTTGTTTTTACCTGGTCAGACCAGGACGAGTACAGGGTGTCCGGGGAGTGAGACTGATGCGTTTGAAGCATATAACATTTAATAAGTCACTGTCAATACGACTCTGCTTAACGTAACTCCAGACAGAAAGCGAAAAGAGGGGGAGAAATAACCCAGGCTGCATTCCAAATTGTACCCTATTCCCCATAGTGCACTGCTTTTGACCAGGGCCCATAGGGTCATAGTCAAAAGTAGTGTGCTATATAGGGAATAGGGTGCCATCTAAGTGCCTTGCAGTACTTACTGACTGAATCGCTAACCCCTCTTGATATTGTATTGGTGATATTTTTGTATTACCTAAATCTTCATCAAGTTGAAAGTCTGTAATATACGGTATATTCCGATGACGTACAGTGATCTGTGAAAATTGCATGTTTTTGAGAAGACTAAAGCGCTTGAGCTTGAAATGTTTATAGAGATTCATATTCATGTAGTATGTGTTTTCACTCCAGTTTGTTATAGCCGGTTTAAACATTTGCATAGAAGGTAGGCAAACTCCTTGAGTCAGTCCAGTTGGAGTGTAAACAGTCTGTTAAAGTTGAACTTACAGTATGTCCCAACACAAACACAAGGCATGATTTAGAGCATGTACTCATGAGGCAGGTGACAGATTAAACCAACTTCAAATGAATCTATGAATGACCATTCTAGGCCTGGCCACATTCGTATTCTGTAGTCACCAGTTAATCTTCTGTAAATCATTCATTTTTTTGTTATAATATTTTTTTTTCACAGAAAGTGGAAGACAACCCCCTCCCTTTTCCTACACATTTTCCTGTAAATCATACATTTTTGGAGAAAGATTAGAAAATTATAAATCAGTGGAGAGGAGTCTCTGTTGGTTGTTGGGGTCAAACCTTTCTCAGACGATGGACAGTCTACCAAGAGAAAGAGAGACATGGGCCAATCGTGCAGAGTTCATCCTTTCTTCAGTAGGCTATGCAGTCGGAATTGGAAACGTGTGGCGCTTTCCATATGTCTGCTTCAGAGATGGTGGAGGTAATTTAATGTAAAAGTATGCGTTGGAATACGACGTTTACCCTGGTGCTCTTATAATAGTTTTAATAGACTATTATTAGCTAAAATGTTTTATCATTGAGTTCTACATCTCCTCAGGTGCGTTCCTCATTCCCTACCTCACCATGACGTGTCTGTGTGCCATCCCACTGGTGTTCATGGAATTTACAGTGGGGCAGTACACAAAAAGAGGACCTGTTGAGGCGCTCATCAAAATCTGCCCTCTAATGAAAGGTGGGTTAACTTTTGTCTCAAAAAAGTGAAGAAAATGTTCATACATTACAAGATATTGTGATGAGGTGTGAATGACGGAGTCAGGCGCAGGAAGGTAAAACACCGAAATCCAGAGTTTATTCAGTATACATGAATAAAGCGCAGCAAGCGTCAAAACGAAACTAGCACAAGGGAAAAATCCACCTTGGCTACATACAAGGCAAGAGTAGCTCAACCAAGCTACTCACTCTCACAATGAACAATCACTCACAAAGGACAAGGGGGCAGAGGGAACACTTATACACAGACTAATGAGGGGATAAGAACCAGGTGTGTGTGATTGACAAGACAAGACAAATGGAGTGATGATAAATGGAGCGGTAGTGGCTAGTAAGCCGGTGACGACGAACGCCGAAACCTGCCCGAGCAAGGAGGAGGGGCACCCTCGTGACAGATATAATTTACCGGTGTTATGAAGTCAGTTTCTATACCAAGAGAGACCACAAGCAACAGAATATTAGAGCCTGTATCATTTTGTATTTTATTTTAGCTATGTTTATTCCATGTTTGTTGTTGTTGATCTCCAGGTGTGGGTGTGGCTATGGTGATGCTGTCCTTCATCGTGGTCTCCTACAACAACACAGTCCTGACCTGGGTTCTGTACTACCTCTTCCACTCCTTCACAGAGCCGTTGCCATGGCAGCTCTGTAACGCCACCTGGAACGTTCCAGAGAACTGCTCCAGCTTCATGGATAACACCACCACCCACCTGCAGTCCGCCGCTAAACAGTTCTTTGAGTAGGTTTAAAAGTTACAGTTACATTTTAACCGTTGTCATTCAATGTCACTTACAAGCTGTGATGTTGGTTTAACCAAATTCACAACACAGATTTTCGAAACATAATTGTACAACATCTCCCTAGTTGTTTTGATCCACCAAGCATGTAGCATCATTACACTTAAATACTGTGTGTGTGTTTAGCCATAGGCTCCTGGAGGTCACTGAGGGGATGGAGACTGTGGGCCACCTGCGTTGGGAGCTGGTCGGAATTCTCCTGCTGATCTGGACCATCCTATTCTTCTCTGTCTGCAAGGGGATCAAATCCACTGGCAAGGTTGTCAATCGCTCCGAACCATTGTTAAAGACATTATATACCCAACTGAGCACTTCATCAAAATGATTCTGCTCTACTAATGATGAGTGTCAGGGAGAACTATTGCGTTGTGACACTCAAATCACTCCACACACTCAACGTGTGTGTGTGTGTGTGTGTGCGTGTGTGCGTGTCCATCCACAGGTGGTGTACTTCACAGCACTGTTTCCATATGTGGTCCTTCTGGCTCTTCTGTTCAACAATGTCCGATTACCAGGAGCCCTGGATGGCATCCTATTCTTCCTAACCCCCAAATGGCACAAACTGGGAGAGATACACGTGAGTGGGTCAAAGCACTTATAAACTTTGACTTGACTTCGACTTGAATAAGTTATCTCATTCTTGAATTAATGACATAGAAATGTTGTTATAGTCATTGCGATGGTCTTGGTTAGGTTTCACTACACTGATTTTCTTAGTCAGTTTGCAGGTCTTGCTCCCATAAAATAATTACTTTGTCAGTCTATAACACTGTACCTATCCTTGCTTGAGTCATTATGTGGGAAGTGTTTGAGAGCAGTTTGACCTCAGGAATGCCCGCTCATTGTTTCATGCTTCCAGGCGTTGGTGCTTTTATTTGTCTAGAGAAAACAATGTTTGACCAGCTCCTGTTGTAAACGTGTAACTGTCAGGCGTTAGCTCCTGTATACTGCTGTTACCATTAGCTCCTGGGGCACTGCACTGTGGCTGGCCCATTGCTTCCAATGTGTGTGTGTCTCGGGGGGGGGGGGGGGGGGGGGGTTGTGAGCATAAAGACAAATGTCCATTCTCTGCAAGTTAATAGACAATAAGGTGGTTTTCTTCACAGGTATGGATTGATGCTACTGCTCAGATCTTCTACTCAATAGGAGTTGGGTTTGGCTGCTTAATGTCCATGGCCAGCCACAACAAGCTCAACAATAACATCCTCAGGTAGCATGCAGAAAGCCTTTTTTTTTTAACGTGTGACATTTAGCAAATTCCACTGCCATTGCTAACGAACACACAAATATACAGTATTTCGCCCCATACAAAATGAACTGACTAGTGTTGCACTAGTGTTGCACTTCTACAGAACTATGGATTTCATCTGAATGATGTAAAAAAATTACTTCCTAAACGTATACAATGAACTCATCATCATCTTTTGTGTGCGGCAGGGATGCAATGATTGTCACTCTGGCGAATTCTGCCACCAGTATTTTTGCTGGCTTCGTCATGTTCTCTGGCATCGGCTACATGGCACATGTGCACCACCTCCAAGTGGAGCAACTAGCTGTTGGAGGTACCGTTCAGGAGGACAGCTCTGGTCCAGGGTGTTACTGGCTGTTGGAGGTACTGTTCAGGAGGACTTAGCTCTGGTCCATGGCGTTACTGGCTGTTGGAGGTACTGTTCAGGAGGACTTAGCTCTGGTCCATGGCGTTACTGGCTGTTGGAGGTACTGTTCGGGAGGAGTTAGCTCTGGTCCAGGGTGTTACATGTGGTTTGCTGATGCTGAGCCTTCTTCAACAGGCATCTTTTTCAAGTTTCAAGATTTAATGTCACGTACGTACACACGTACAGTGAAATGCCTTGCTTGCCAGCTCTAATCCCAACAGTGCAGTAATCAATATCAATGTATTACTAAAAATAACAAGGTAGAACAAAAGCCCAAGTGAAATAATAACAGGAGAAAGTAAGAAGCTATTCACAGGGTCAGTTCTAATAGCATATTTACAATGTGCAGGGATAGTGGAGGGATAGAGGTAGATGTGTATAGGGGTAAGGTGACTAGGCATCAGGATATGTGATTAACAGAGTAGCAGCAACATATATGATGATTGTATGTGAGTGTGTGTGTGCATTTGGTTGTAGAGTCCGTATAAATGTGTGTGCATGTTATGTGTGTGTGAGCAAATTAAGTGTGTGTGTGTGTGTTGGAGTGTCAGTGTGCGTGAGTGAGTGTATAGAGTCCTGTGAGTGTGCATAGAGACAGTGCAAAAATAGAAATAAAACACAAGGGTCAACTCAGATAGTCTGTGTAGCCATTTTGTTAGCTATTTAGCAGTCTTATGGCTTGGAGATAGAAGCTGTTCAGGAGCCTGTTGGTGTCAGACTTGATGCACCTGTATCAGCAGAGAGAACAGTCTATGCCTTGGGTGGCTGGAGTCTTTTTTCCGGGCCTTCCTTTCACACCGCCTGATATAGAGGACCTGGATGGCAGGGAGCTCGGCCTCAGTAATGTACTAGGCGGTCTGCACCACCCTCTGTAGCGCCATGCGATCGAGAGCGGTGCTGTTGCCATACCAAGCGGTGATGCAGCCAGTCAAGATGCTCTCAATGGTGCAGCTGTAGAACATTTTGAGGATTTGAGGGCCCATGCCAAACTTTTTCAACCTCCTTTTTCAACCGACTGTGCGCCTGTGTGTGGACCATGTTAAGTCCTTAGTGATTTGGACACAGAGGAACCTGAAGCGCTTGACCCGCTCCACTGCAGCCGCGTCGATGTGGATAGGGGTGTGCTCGCCCCTACGTTTCCGGTAGTCCATGATCAGTCCTTGGTGTTACTGAGGTTGAAGGAGAGGTTGTTAACCTGGCACCACACTGCCAGGTCACTGACCTCCTCCCTGTAGGCTGTCTCATCATTGTTGGTAATCAGGGCTAACACCGGCGTGTCGTCAGCAAACTTGATGATGGTGTTGGAGTCGTGCGTGGCCACGGAGTCGTGGGTGAACAGGGAGTACAGGAGGGGACTGAGGTGATGCTGCCTACCCTCACCACCTGGGGTCGGCCCGTCAGGAAGTCCAGGATCCAGTTCCAGAGGGCGGTGTTCAGTCCCAGGGTCCTAAGATTGGTGACGAGCTTGGAGGGGACAATGGTGTTGAACGCTGAGCTGTAGTCAATGAACAGCATTCTCACGTAGGTATTCCTCTTATCTAGGTGGGTGAGGACAGTGTGGAGTGCAATTGAGTTTGCATCGTCTATGGATCTGTTGGGGCGGTATGCAAATTGGAGTGGGTCTATGGTGTCTGGGATGATGGAGTTGATGTGGGCCATAACCAGCCTTTCAAAGCGCTTAATGATTACAGGTGTGAGTGCTACAGGGCGGTAGTCATTGTTGAATGAAGCCTTACAGTTCCTTGGAACAGGAATTATGGTGGTCAGTTTAAGACGTGGGGATTACAGACTGGGACGAGGAGAAGTTGAAAACGGCCGTGAATATGCCTGCCAGCTGTTCTGCGCATGCTCTGAGAACGCGCCCTGGAATACCGTCCGGCCCCACGGCCTTGCAAGTGTTTACCTGATTAAAGACCTTACTCACATCGGCCTCGGAGATCACCCAGTCCTCTGGGTCGGTGGGGGCCCTCACACCCGGCACGGTGTTGTTATTGTCGAAGCGTGCATAAAATGCATTGAGATCATCTGAAAGAGAGGCATGGTTGGGCAGATCACGTCTGGGTCTTCCTTTGTAATCCGTCATGGACTGTAGCCCCTGCCACATGCGGTGGGAGGCGGAGCCTGTGTAGTATGATTCCACCTTGTTCCTATACTGTCCTTTTACTCATTTTGTTGAAGAATGCTCAGCATCAGCAAGCCTCACGTAACACCCTGGACCAGAGCTAACCAGGGGTTATGTACAGATGGTGGAAACTGAATGTAGATGCTAAAGAGAACTTGTCCCACTTTAAATTAACTACAAATTATACTGAATTATCACAACATTTTCCTTGATGTAATCCAATAGAAAACATATCTAGAAAATGACATTTACTGAAGTAAATGTGGTGTGCTTGCTAGTCTGAAGTAAATGTTGTGTGCTGGCTAGTCTGAAGTAAATGTGGTGTGCTTGCTAGTCTGAAGTAAATGTGATGTGCTTGCTAGTCTGAAGTAAATGTTGTGTGCTTGCTAGTCTGAAGTAAATGTGATGTGCTTGCTAGTCTGAAGTAAATGTTGTGTGCTTGCTAGTCTGAAGTAAATGTGGTGTGCTTGCTAGTCTGAAGTAAATGTTGTGTGCTTGCTAAATCTAATCGTCTCCTTGTTCAGTGATCGATAATCAATGCACGGGCGCAGACCGCCGTCTTTCTTCTTCACAAAGAAGAAACTTGAGGAGGCGGGTGAAGTGGAGGGACGTATATACCCCTGGCCCAGGGACTTGGTGACGTATGTTTCCATAGCCTCCGTTCCAGCCTGCGACAGGGGGTACACATGACTCCTGGGAGGTACAGCATATACCCAAAGGTTTATCGGGCAATCCCCCGCCCGATGAGGTGGAAATTTAGTCGCACGCGTCTTTGAAAACGCGTGCGCCAAATTGAGGTATTCGGGGGGAATGCGCACGGTGGAGGTACCGTCTGGACTTTCCACCGTGGTTGCACCAACGGAAACATCTAGACACCTACCCTGACACTCTCGCGACCACCCTGTGAGAGCCCTCTGCGGCCATGAGAAGGTGGGGTTGTGGAGTGCTAGCCAAGGGATACCTAATACCACAGGGAAAGCAGGAGACTCAATAATCGAAAAAATAATCTGCTCATAATGTGTCTCCTGGGTGATCATGGTGACTGGAATAGTGACTTCCGTAACAAACCCGGACCCTAATGGTCGACTATCGAGTGCTCTGATGGGGAGTGGAATGGATAGGGGAACCAATGAAATGCCTTGACGGCGTGCGAATGCCCTGTCCATAAAGTTCCCAGCTGCGCCTGAATCGACTAGCGCCTTACACTGGGGAACTACCTTGTGATCGGGAAAGTGGATAGGTAGGGTACAGTGCGCAGAAGAGGGCTCTGAACAAGTGTGGGTGTTCAATACCTGGGGTGATGCGTGAGTGCCCTGCCTGCCGCCTCCAGGCGCAAAATAACGTTGACTACGACGTGTGGTATACTGTCCCTTCGTGCCACCAGAGTGGCACTGTCGCTGTCATCCTCCGCTTTCTCGGCCGGCGACTCCACCCAGCTCCATCGGCTCGGGATCCGAGTCGTCCGGGGTGGAAACGGGCAGACCCCTACCAGGACGTCCTCTGGCTGCCAGCAGGTTGTCCAAACGAATGGCCATGTCCACCAGTTTATTGAAGGACAACATGGTGTCCCGGCAGGCTAGCTCCCGTCGGACGTCCTCCCGCAGATGGCACCGGAAATGGTCGATCAGGGTCTGCTCGTTCCACCCGGACCCCGCTGCCAGCGTCCGAAACTCCAACGCGAAGTCCTGCGCGGTCCTCGTCCCCTGCCTCAGGTGGACCAGCCGCTCGCCCGCCTCTCAACCCTCGGGCGGGTGATCAAAGACCGCCCGAAAGAGGCGAGCGAACTCCCTGTAGTCCTCCAACGCGGCTCCTCCTTCGTTCCACACCGCGTTGGCCCACTCCGATGGCGCCGGCCTGATGCTGGAGAAGTACAGCTCCATTTGGAGGAGGAATCCCTGGCACAGTGCCGCCGTCCCATCAAACGCCCGTGGTCGGGATATCTGGATCCCTCCGGGTGCTGGGGTGTAGGTGGCTGGATCCGGTTGGCCACCCGATCCATCGCTTCCCCCAAGCTGGCCAGCATCGTGGAATGCTCTTGGACTCGTGCCACGACTTCAGGCATGCACTCTTCTCCCGCTGACTCCATAGCGGGTGGGTGATTCTGTGATGAGTGTGATGGAAAGGAGTCAGGCGCAGGAGGGTAATCACCGAATACAGAGTTTATTCCTTCGTAGACACACAAATGCGCTCAAATAGCGATAAACGAAACAGGCACAGGGGAAAATCTATCCTGGCAACAACATGTTACGAGTAGCTCCACCGAGCTACACTACTCTCACAAATAACAATCACCCACAAGGACAAGGGGGCAGAGGGAATACTTAGACACAGACTAATTAGGGGATAGGAACCAGTTGTGTGTGATTGACAAGACAAGACAATTGGGATGATGATTGGGGCGGCAGTGGTTAGTAAGCCAGTGACGATGAACGCCGAAGCCTGCCCGAACAAGGAGGGGAGGCAGCCTCGGCCGAAGTCGTGACATCTGGAGAGAGATTTTAAATTAGAGATGAACTTCAATGCTAGTTAGGGATACTATAGTTATCACATTTCACATTGGATTTATTACCTACAAAAAGTTTTAACTTTATAAAATGTTTTTAGCTAGCTGGCTTCTCTGGTCCAAAATTAAGCCAACTCTGAAGTTCCTCCGTAGAAGCTGGTCCTCCGTAGGTATAATTCTGTGGGTCTAATTCAGATAATACATGTCATCAGAAGATGCCCAGCGCTTCAAGCCAAGCCTCCTCCTCCACCCTCTCTCGCTCTCTCCCCACCCACAAAATGTCAGTTGCATCTCGCATCCTACACTTGTCTTTCCATCACGCATGTAAACAACTCACTGAGCAATAGCTCGCCAGCTCCATAGCAAGCTGCTCTATCCGTACTGCACGATTGGTGAAGTAATTTAATGTCGAGCTAAACGTTTTTTAAAAATTATTTCAGAGGTTTAAAAAGGAACAGAAAGGAACAATATAAACCAGTACTTTATTTTCAGAATTGTATTTTGTTGTTTGGAACGAAAAAATAATAGTTATATTCAGAAAAGATTGGAAAATAATTTCGTTTCCAGCCCCTGGTAGTATCAAAACGTTTTTATTTTATTTTAAGCAACCTGCGGACGTTCAGCCTGCACTTTACAAGGTTGTTTTGGTGTTGGTAGCTTTTATGATTTTGGCCCTACAGATGGCAGCGGAAGGCAAATAGTAAGAAGAAGTATGAACAGTTTCTAAAGTTGCGCTTTGCTTTTAGCAAGCACACCTAAGAAACAGTCAAATCAAATCACATTTTATTTGTCACATGCGCCGAATACAACAAGTGTAGACTTTACCGTGAAATGCTTACTTACGATCCCTTTCCTAGCAATGCAGTTAAAAAGTAAGAAAATTAACAAATAGATAAAAAATAAAATAATAACACAATAAAATAACAATAACGAGGCTTTATACAGGCTATATACAAGAAGTACTGGTACCGAGTCAGTGTACTGGGGTACGAGGTAGGTGTGGTGGTTGATTGAGGTAATAAGTACGTACATGTAGGTTTGGTTAGGTGATTGATTTAATTACTATTTACATATAGGTGGAGGGTGAAAAGCAGAAAGTCTGGGTAGCCGTTTAATTAACTGTTTAGCATTCTTATGGCTTTGGGTTAGAAGCTGTTCAGGAGCCTTTTGATCCCAGACTTGACTCTCCGGTACCGCTGCCGTGCAGTAGCAGAGAGAACAGACTGTGACTTGGGTGGCAGGAGTCTTTGACAAATGTTAGGGCCTTCCTCTGACACCGCCTGGTATAGAGGTCCTGGATGGCAGGAAGCTCGGCCCCATTAATGTACTGGGCCGTACGCACTACCCTCTGCAGCGCCTAGCGGTCGGATCCTGAGCAGTTGCCATACCAGGCGGTGATGCAGCCGGTCAAGATGTAGTATGAAGTAATTTAATGATGCAACCGCCATACCTGACCTAGAATGTGTTCTTGCCTGAACTGTCACAATAGAACTGTACCTGTCAGGTCCTGAAAACACATGTAAAGAACATGTCATGGTTATACATACAGTGACTCTATGTGTGTGTGTGTGTGTGTGTGTGTGTGTGTGTGTGTGTGTGTGTGTGTGTGTGTGTTTATCCAGGGCCTGGTCTGGCGTTTGTGGTTTATCCAGAGATCTTCAGCACCATGCCTGTCTCTCAGCTCTGGGCCTTCCTCTTCTTCCTCATGCTGATGTGTCTCGGCCTGGATAGTCAGGTTCAGCAGCACACACACACACCCACAGGCCCACACACAAACCCACACACACACACACAAACACACTCACATGCATTAGTGCACACCAGGCACATGCACAGATAGAGGTCTAGGGGTGCCTGAGCACCAGCTCTTTTGCCCTTTTTTTTTTATATTAATGCATCTTTATTTTACTTTGACTATTTTCTCTCTTGCTATTTTAAATGTAAAGAATCAAACTAATTTCTCCTTTTTAAATCTTGAAAAATGTATTCCCCCTCCCCCGCTCCTTTTCCCACACGCGAGCTTAAATTTTTTACATTTACATTTTAGTCATTTAGCAGACGCTCTTATCCAGAGCGACTTACAGTTAATGAGTGCATACATTTTCATAGCTTACACTGCAGGCAGAAGGTACAGGCAACGAGAAGTAATTTGAGTAGTGGCCACTTTGAGTTGTCTCTCATGGTCAGGGTCAGGGATGGGTTCAATTTGGCTTTTTATTTGTAGGCCTATGAGGCAGATGTCAGCAGCAGAACAAACTCCAGCCACAGAAAAAACACTAGTTTGTTTCAACAGCATAGCTAGCTAGCTAACTAGTTGGTTTACATAATCTACATTCACTATAATCAGCTGATAGCTGATCACCTCTTTGCCCTCTCTGAGCAGTAGGTTAGCTAGCTAGATCTTGTTTACAGTTGAATGAGTGTCTGTTTGGAGAAAATAAATGCAAAAATATATATTTCTGTACAGTAGAGAAGTATGAATGCAAAGGAATTCAAGACAAAAGTTGTTGTTGCTTTTTTTAGGGGTGCCCTTTTTTCACTTTGAGCTCCTGCCCATCAAAAGGTCTGAGCATGGCCCTGGTACACACACACACACACACACATACACACACACACACACGCACACACACACACACACACACACACACACACACACACACACACACACACACACACACACACACACACACACACACACACACACACACACAGCCAGTATAGTTTACTGTGTGTCTTGTCTGTTTAGTTTGATGTGTCTTGTCTGTTTAGTTGAATGTGTGTCTTGTCTTGTCTTTAGTTTAATGTGTGTGTTGTCTGTATAGTTGAATGTGTGTTTTGTCTTTATAGTTTAATGTGTGTTTTGTCTTTATAGTTGAATGTGTGTTTTGTCTTTATAGTTGAATGTGTGTGTTGTCTGTATAGTTGAATGTGTGTTTTGTCTGTATATGTCACGCCCTGACTCAGAGGACGCTTATATGTTGAGTCAGGGTGTGTATATTCCTTGTTGTGATTTTCTATGTTGTATTTTCTATGTTTAGGATCTAGTATGTCTAGTTCTATGTTGGCCGGTGTGGTTCCCAATCAGAGGCAGCTGTCGCTCGTTGTCTCTGATTGGGGATCATACTTAGGCAGCCTATTGGCACTAGTGAGTTGTGGGATCTTGTTCCGTGTGAGGCATGGTGTGTGTGTGTGTGTGTGTGTGTGTGTGTGTGTGTGTGTGTGTGTGTGTGTGTGTGTGTGGTGTGTGTGTGTGTGTGTGTGTGTGTGTGTGTGTGGTGTGTGTGTGTGTGTGTGTGTGTGTGTGTGTGTGTGTGTGTGTGTGTGTGTGTGTGTGTGTGTGTGTGTGTGTGTGTGTGTGTGTGTGTGTGTGTGTGTGTGTGTGTGTGTGTGTGTGTGTGTGTGTGTGTGTGTGTGTGGTGTGTGTGTGTGTGTGTGTGTGTGTGTGGTGTGTGTGTGTGTGTGTGTGTGGTGTGTGTGTGTGTGTGTGTGTGTGTGTGTGTGGTGTGTGTGTGTGTGTGTGTGTGTGTGTGTGTGTGTGTGGTGTGTGTGTGTGTGTGTGTGTGTGTGTGTGTGTGTGTGTGTGTGTGTGTGTGTGTGTGGTGTGTGTGTGTGTGTGTGTGTGTGTGTGTGTGTGTGTGTGTGTGTGTGTGTGTGTGTGTGTGGTGTGTGTGTGTGTGTGTGTGTGTGTGTGTGTGTGTGTGTGTACACACACACCTTGGACTTCATGTATCGTTAGTCTGTTGTGTTTCTTTATTTTGTTCAAATAAACATGTATGCATATCACGCTGGGCCTTGGTCTGACCCGTTCATCAACGAACGTGACAGTATAGTTGAATGTGTGTTTTGTCTTTATAGTTTAATATGTGTTTTGTCTGAATAGTTTAATATGTGTTTTGTCTGTATAGTTTGCCCTTATGGAGGTCATGGGGACTTTCATTATGGACAGCTTTGGCCCAAAGATTCTCCTCATGCTGAAGTACAAAGAGCTGGTGACCCAATTACTCTGCTTCTTGACCTTCCTGCTTGGCCTTCCTTGCATTACTCAGGTGTGTGTGTGTGTGTGTGTGTGTGTGTCCGTGTGTTTGTATTTCTGTGTGTGTGTGTGCGTGCATGCGTGTGTATCTGGTTTCAAGAGGTGTAATTTATTTTTTTATTTAACCAGGTAAGCCAGTTGAGAACAAGTTCTCATTTACAACTGCGACCTGGCATCTTGGTGCCATTATCCTATTCAAACAAATAACCTATTGTGCCCTTGGGTCTTGGTCTTTACAGGGCGGGGTTTACATCTTCCAGCTGCTAGACTATTCTGTTGGCATAACACTGATGTTCACTTCTTTATTTGAAGTTGTTGCCCTAAGCTGGATATTTGGTAAGTGCTCCAATGAGAGCTTTAATGGCACTCTTTTTACATTTTAGTCATTTAGCAGACGCTCTTATCCAGAGCGACTTACAGTTAGTGAGTGCATACATTTTCATACTGCACCCCTGTGGGGAACGAACCCACAACCCTGGCGTTGCAAGCGCCATGCTCTACCAACTGAGCTACACGGGGCCTCACACAATGAATGTATCTGTTCGCTTCATCTGGCCCTGAATGATAATGTCCTGTAGTATGACATTTTTCATCGATTTTTCTCTCCAAAACAACTCCTGCTTCCAAAGTAGATTTGTGAAGTATTGTCTGAACATGTCCCAAATAGAAACGTCTTGTGACCTTTCTTTTCAAAGATTAATTTCATATACATCAGATAATGACCTTTGCAGATACCATTCTTATCATTGCTTAAATGCTTTTAGTCCGTGACAGTACACTTCCTGCTGATTTGTAGGAGTACGGCGGCTCTCTATCATGGTGAAAAGGATTCTGGGAAAGCCTCCAAACGTCTTCTTTAAGCTCTGCTGGTTGGTGGTCTCTCCGCTGTTGATCGTGGTGAGTCTACTTGAAGATCCTCATTGAACCACTAACACAACACAGCCCTTATCCCAGGGAGATCGTTCAAGATTGATATCGAAATCTGACATCTATAAAAAAAAGTCGCACACTCTATGTATAAACTCCCAGTAATTTATTTTGGTAAAAAAACACCAACGTTTCGGCATCACTGTGCTCGATGCTTTCATCACCGTCTCCACCACTCCCCTGAACGGGGGTGGGGTTCTTCAGGGTAAGGTCATGAATGCTTGAACCATGTTATGTAGACAAACAATTAGTGAGGGATGTGTCGTAATTGCTAAGTTAATCAGAATGAAAAACTGTTAAAGACAATAGCCCACAGCATATTGAATATATTAGGCCATTGTTAGCATTAGCATCAACATACATTGTTTCATTTAATTTCACATATATATTTAAATATTTCCTATGTCATTAAATGTTTTTGTTACATGTAATCTTTTGGTTCAACCATAATGCATAATAAGCATCATTAACAGGGGGAACATATTGGGTGTAGACCTTTTCACAAAGAATATAGGGGCAACAGTGAGCGCTATTACTATCAAGTAGGCTTGGGTTGTGGCAGATGGTCGTAATCCCATGACTCTGGATCAGAGGGTAATGTGTTCGATCTCAGTTATGGAGGCTGGTTAATTTGTTTTTTGTTTTAACCATATCTCAAACCTTAACCCCTTACCTTAACCATTCGGAATGATTGCCTAAACTAACCCTTAACTTTGAAATTTGATGTTTGAGGTACGTGGATAAACGTCCAATTCTGCAGTGAAACTGAAAGTTTGTTGCTTATCCAGGGCAGCCCACACAATGAGCAAAACATTTACAGCATTAATCACCCTGGTATTCATAGCTGACTTTGAAAAGGCCTTTGATAAAGTACGACTGGAATTTATATATAAATGTCTGGACTATTTTAATTTAGGAGAATCTCTTATATAATGCGTTAAAGTTATGTATAGTAACCCCAGGTGTAAAATAGTAAATAATGTCTACTTCTCAGAAAGTATTAAATTGTCAAGAGGAGTAAAACAAGGTTGTCCACTATCGGCATATCTATTTATTATTGCCATCGAGATGTTAGCTATTAAAATCAGATCCAACAATATCAAGGGGCTAGAAATCCAGGCCTTAAAACAAAGGTGTCACTGTATGCTGACGATTCATGTTTTCTTTTAAATCCTCAATTTGGATCCCTGCACAGTCTCATAGTGGATCTAGATAATTTTTCTAACCTCTCTGGATTAAAACCGAATTATGATAAATGCACCATATTACGTATTGGATCTAAAAAAAAATCAAACTTTTACATTAGCGTGAAGTGGTAATGGACAGTGAAGTGGACATACTCTGTATTCATATCCCGAAAAGAAAGAAATTATCTCACTACAATACATTTCAATCTTGCTACCATGGAAAGGTCAACACCTGTCTATTTGTGGGAAAAATATCCCAGTTTACCTATTTACTTATGGCCCTAACTACACCTAATGACTTGTTTGTTTAATTATATGAGCAAAAAATATTCCACTTCATTTGGAACGGCCAGACAAAATTAAATGGGCCTATTTATATAATGAATATGAATTCGAAGTGCAGAAATGATTAAATATTAAAGCATTGGACCTCTCACTAAAGGCTTCAGTCATACAAAAACTATACTTAAATCTGAACTGGTTCTCTAGCAGATTAGTAAGAATGGTTCACCCCGTGTGCAAGAACGGCCTTTTTCCCTTCATTCAGATTACGACCTCTCACTTTTGGTTATTTGAAAATAAAAGAATCTTCCGAAATATTGCTATTTTTAAAACAAGCAATAGAAAGCTGGTTGCAATTTTAGTTTAATCCACCAGAAAAGACAGAACAAATATTATGGTTAAACTCAAATATACTTATTGATTTAGAAATACATTATTTTTGGAACACATTTTTTAAAAACGGTATAACCTTTGTAAATGATATCATAAATAGGACTGGTGGAGTTATGTCACACGTGCAGTTAACAAAAATATATGGAAATGTCTGATCGAACCAACTGATTGCAGCATTACCGCAAAAACGGAGGAGGCAAGTGGAAAGGGGAGAAGGTAAGGAACTTTGTCTGTCGGCCCTGCATTAAAGACAAAAGTGATAAATAAAAAAGTATACCAGTTTCATATAAGGACCAAAACATTGACAGCTGCGCCATACAGGTTGCAGAAGTTCTAGAGAATAGTTGAGAATATATTTTTTATGTACTGATTCCATGGCACATGGATTATGAATTTATACACAAAACAACGCTGGATTCAAAAGTTTGTTTTTTCAATTATTATACAGAATTCTTGCAACCAATAGAATGTTATAAAAAACCATCCCAGCTCTGCAGATTTTGCTGCGAAGAGACAGAATCATTAGATCACTTGTTTTGGTACTGCCCATATGTAGCTTGTTTTTGGTCGCAGGGTCAGAAATGGCTGAAAAATTTCAACATTTACTTGAAGCTAATGCTGCAAATAGTCCTGCTGTGTGATTTGAAAAGTCATAGTCAATCGATCAATAATATAATAACTCTCTTAGCAAAGGTGTTATCTTTAATTTACAATCTGTAGAAACTATGAGAATAGAAAGGTTCAGAACTTTTATGAAACATCACAGCACAGTGGAAAAGTATATGGCAGCTAGAAATCAAAACTGGATGGTCTTCCGAGATAGATGGGAGGAGTTGAGGGTAGCTGAAGGCTGGGACTAAAAACAAACAAAAGATAACTAATGTAAAATATACTGTCCGTGAAATGTATGTAGTATGTATAAGCTGGAAGTGGAAACCTAAGTATTGTTGTCCATTAGTGTACTCCAATTAGGGAAGGGGTGTTAGGGTTAGGGGAAAATAATAAAGGAAAATATATTTAACAAAAAATTTTATTAAAAATAATATACACTACCAGTCAAAAGTTTGGACACACCTACTCATTCAAGGTTTTTTCTTTATTTTTACAAATAGAAAAAATAAATAAATACAAATCACGCTGCATTGTATTGCGAGTTTAACTGTGTTTCACGGTTCTGTATTTTACACAGGTCAGTGCTGTTCTGAGTATGTCTCTTACCTTTTATAGTGAACTTTTCTCTAGGATTAAGACATTTGTTAACAAACGTATGTATTCAACCGTAGCTATTTTTCAACTAGCCAGAAGATCCGACCTGCTTGCTTACAGCTGCACTAGTGTCGGACAGGCTTCCTGTGTAGATTGAAGACACCGCAGATCCGGCGCCAGATATGGCTCTGGAAAATCTACCTCAATCCAGGGATGAGAAATCGAATCCGTGGTGTCTTAATCTACACAGGAAGCCTGTCCGACCCTACTGCAGCAGTAAGGCTATTTTTTCCCCCAACCAACCTTTTCTACCTGTAGGCCATATTGGTCACCACCATGGTCCAGCATAGACCACTCCGTTACGGGGAGACGTATCGCTACCCAGCATGGGCTGACGGTGTTGCATGGATCATCATCTTTCTGTCCGTTGGCTGGATCCCTCTTGGAGCCATGCATGAGCTGCTTGGAAGGAAAGGCACTTGCTTAGCGGTAAGGTTTGTACGTGAATGCACATTATTCCGTGATGTGGATGGATGGATAGACGGATGGTGGATGGATGGTGGATGGATGGTGGATGGATGGTGGATGGTGGGTGGATGGTGGATGGTGGATGGATGGTGGATGGATGGTGGATGGATGGTGGATGGATGGATGGATGGATGGTGGATGGATGGTGGATGGATGGTGGATGGATGGTGGATGGATGGATATGCAGATATATGAATGTATTCCTCTCTCCCGGTGTAGAGGCTGAAGGCGTCGGTGACTCCCAGGATCACCCTGGAGGAAAACTGCAACGTGCCTGTCAATGGAGACCAACACCAAGACGATGTTAAGTCTCTGTACAGTCTCTCTGAGGTCAGTCCTCTACGTGAAGAGAAAGACCTCGGGGACATGCAGGCTCCTGTGTGGCTCAATTGCTAGAGCTTTGCAATGTCATGGGTACGATTCCCGCTGGGGCAACCCATGTCTCTATGCTCACAATGTCCATTGAATATACTTCTGAAAGGCACAATGCTCAATAAAGGAACGTGACTAGGTCAGTATTTAAATGTTGGTGCTGTTTTCATTTGATACTGTCGGTACACCACTGGAAGGTACACGGGTACTGGTCCAGACTACAGCCGCCCGAAAGCGCACATTAAGGCTTACTTCAGGATCTGCTATGTACATCCTAATATACACAGTTTCCAAGACACTTTGGGGAAGGAGAGTTGAAATATGCCTGCCGTTCTGTGCTTTGTCACTGTGACAAGTGTTTAGGCTTGTTTTTAGCCCGTGGACCCTGACTGGATATTGCCGGTCAATCGTAAAGCTCTCAAAGTACAGTAACACTTCTGAAGGTGGTGTTACAATAGCTTTTAATGAGACAATGGTGCAAACACTGTCTACGCTATAATAGACCTCAGTTTAGTTGAAATAGATGGTATTTCTTTTGTATCTTTATTTATCTTGATGTATAGACTGGCTTAGATGGTGGTTTACTTATTGAGTGCTCAGCAGCAGGTGTTGTTTATACTATATACTGGTGATATCGTTTTTTAACGAGGTGCATTTTCACAACAAAAAAAGAAAAAGGTTTCTGTCAGACTTTGTGCCCTTAAAAGGGTACTTTCTTGATTCTCCCTGTATTCAACTAATTGTCTCGCAAAACTAACAACCACCTCGTAAAAATACACTATTAGGTAGAAATGAAGGCACAGGGAGAGAGTGAGTCCGTGCATGCAGTGTCGGCAGCACACGGAGGCCAGGGGACAGTACAGTGTGAGAGGGAGGTTTAAGAAGACATAAACAGAGCAGGACAGTAGACCACCCTGGAGCCAGCCTCAAACAAACTTAATGTGCCCCCGTGTTGAGTCAGTGTGGTGGAACATGCTAATCTCCTGTCTTCAAAACACTGGCCCCACGATGGACCGGTGTGGCAACAACATACAAGCTGATGAGAGTGGGGGGGGGGGGGGGGGGCAGAGAGAGAGAGAAAGGGGTGGGGGGTTTGCTGATGATCTGGTGCTTCTGTCCCCAACCAAGGAGGGCCTACAGCAGCACCTAGATCTTCTGCACAGATTCTGTCAGACCTGGGCCCTGACAGTAAATCTCAGTAAGACATAAAAATAATGGTGTTCCAAAAAAGGTCCAGTTGCCAGGAACACAAATACAAATTCCATCTAGACACCGTTGCCCTAGAGCACACAAAAAACTATACCTACCTCGGCCTAAACATCAGCAACACAGGTAACTTCCACAAAACTGTGAACGATCTGAGAGATCAAGAAGGATCTTCTACACCATAAAAAGGAATATAAAATTCAACATCCCAATTAGGATCTGGCTAAAAATACTTGAATCAGTTATAGAACCCATTGCCCTTTATGGTTGTGAGGTCTGGGGTCCGCTCACCAACCAAGAATTCACAAAATGGGACAAACACCAAATTGAGACTCTGCATGCAGAATTCTGCAAAATCATGGTCCATGTACAACCCTATGGTATTTAATAATAATAATAATATGCCATTTAGCAGACGCTTTTATCCAAAGCGACTTACAGTCATGCGTGCATACATTTTTGTGTATGGGTGGTCCCGGGGATCGAACCCACTACCTTGGCGTTTCAAGCGCCGTGCTCTACCAGCTGAGCTACAGAATTTCATGGTATTGTGGGAGATACAATGATGAGAGATGGGTAACTAGTGTTATTAAATTATTAAGTGTCCTGTTGCAGATCGTGTATTTAATGCCTCCCAGTGGAGGAGACCAGTGAAGGAAGGAAAATATCTAGAAACGTTTTATTGGTCCTCAGAGAGAGCTATTTTGGTGTATTTGCCAGAATGAGTTAAAAGAAAGCTTACATCTTATTCTATTCAGAAACCAACGAGCACTGACAGTATAATGATCCGTCAACAACTGTGATTTCACCTTAACTCTTCAGAGAGGTATCTGTTAAACTGAATGACCAGAGCCATTTTGATTTAATTTATCTGAATCTGTCAGTGTAGAGGTGTGATGATTGGTCAAGTCCCAGGTTCAAACCAGCCTTGTACTGCACTATACATCATGTCTTCTGCACTTAACCTGGATTCCATCAGTAAGCTGTATATCCAGCTGCCTGGTTGGTTAATGCACATTGAGGTTGAAATCTATATTCGTCACTCTGGAGCACCAAGGCATTCTGCCAAGTTACTAAAATAATACTATCCCCTCAGTCCACTTGATAAATTCGAAAACAGAACAGTTTACAGAACGCGCTGAACAAATTAAGAGCAAGATATTTTTTGGAACCAGACCAAGACTAGTGCTCGTCTTAATAGTAACAACTTCAGTGTCCTAATGGACACCTTCTATCTATCTCTGGGCTATAAGAAGAAAGTAAGCTATAGACTGGCAACATCTACACTCCATCCAGTCTACATCTACTGTCCACTCCATCCAGTCTACATCTACTGTCCACTCCATCCAGTCTACATCTACTGTCCACTCCATCCAGTCTACATCTACTGTCCACTCCATCTAGTCTACATCTACACTCCATCCAGTCTACATCTACACTCCATCCAGTCTACATCTACACTCCATCCAGTCTACATCAGCACTCTATCCAGTCTACATCAGCACTCCATCCAGTCTACATCTACACTCCATCCAGTCTATATCAGCACTCCATTCAGTCTACATCAGCACTCCATCCAGTCTACATCAGCACTTCATCCAGTCTACATCTACACTCCATCCAGTCTACATCAGCACTCCATCCAGTCTACATCAGCACTCTATCCAGTCTACATCAGCACTCCATCCAGTCTACATCAGCACTCCATCCAGTCTACATCTACACTCCATCCAGTCTACATCTACACTCCATCCAGTCTACATCTACACTCCATCCAGTCTACATCAGCACTCCATCCAGTCTACATCAGCACTTCATCCAGTCTACATCAGCACTCTATCCAGTCTACATCAGCACTCCATCCAGTCTACATCAGCACTCTATCCAGTCTACATCAGCACTCCATCCAGTCTACATCTACACTCCATCCAGTCTACATCAGCACTCTATCCAGTCTACATCAGCACTCCATCCAGTCTACATCTACACTCCATCCAGTCTATATCAGCACTCCATTCAGTCTACATCAGCACTCCATCCAGTCTACATCAGCACTCTATCCAGTCTACATCTACACTCCATCCAGTCTACATCAGCACTCCATCCAGTCTACATCTATACTCCATCCAGTCTATATCAGCACTCCATCCAGTCTATATCAGCACTCCATCCAGTCTACATCAGCACTCCATCCAGTCTACATCAGCACTCCATCCAGTCTACATCAGCACTCTATCCAGTCTACATCAGCACTCCATCCAGTCTACATCAGCACTCCATCCAGTCTACATCTACACTCCATTCAGTCTATATCAGCACTCCATCCAGTCTACATCTACACTCCATCCAGTCTACATCTACACTCCATCCAGTCTATATCAGCACTCCATCCAGTCTACATCAGCACTCCATCCAGTCTACATCAGCACTCCATCCAGTCTACATCAGCACTCCATCCAGTCTACATCTGCACTCCATCCAGTCTACATCTACACTCTATCCAGTCTACATCTACACTCTATCCAGTCTACATCTACACTCCATCCAGTCTACATCAGCACTCCATCCAGAATACATCAGCACTCCATCCAGTCTACATCAGCACTTCATCCAGTCTACATCTACACTCCATCCAGTCTACATCAGCACTCCATCCAGTCTATATCAGCACTCCATTCAGTCTACATCAGCACTCCATCCAGTCTACATCAGCACTCCATCCAGTCTACATCAGCACTCCATCCAGTCTACATCAGCACTCCATCCAGTCTACATCAGCACTCCATCCAGTCTACATCTACACTCCATCCAGTCTATATCAGCACTCCATCCAGTCTACATCAGCACTCCATCCAGTCTACATCAGCACTCCATCCAGTCTATATCAGCACTCCATCCAGTCTACATCAGCACTCCATCCAGTCTACATCTGCACTCCATCCAGTCTACATCTACACTCCATCCAGTCTACATCTACACTCTATCCAGTCTACATCTACACTCTATCCAGTCTACATCTACACTCCATCCAGTCTACATCAGCACTCCATCCAGTCTACATCAGCACTCCATCCAGAATACATCAGCACTCCATCCAGTCTACATCTGCACTCCATCCAGTCTACATCTACACTCTATCCAGTCTACATCTACACTCTATCCAGTCTACATCTACACTCCATCCAGTCTACATCAGCACTCCATCCAGTCTACATCAGCACTCCATCCAGACTACATCAGCACTCCATCCAGAATACATCAGCACTCCATCCAGAATACATCAGCACTCCATCCAGTCTACATCAGCACTTCATCCAGTCTACATCTACACTCCATCCAGTTTACATCAGCACTCCATCCAGTCTACATCAGCACTCCATCCAGTCTACATCAGCACTCCATCCAGAATACATCAGCACTCCATCCAGTCTACATCAGCACTTCATCCAGTCTACATCTACACTCCATCCAGTCTACATCAGCACTACATCCAGTCTACATCAGCACTCCATCCAGTCTACATCAGCACTCCATCCAGTCTACATCAGCACTCCATCCAGTCTACATCAGCACTCCATCCAGTCTACATCTACACTCTATCCAGTCTACATCTACACTCTATCCAGTCTACATCTACACTCCATCCAGTCTACATCAACACTCCATCCAGTCTACATCAGCACTCCATCCAGAATACATCAGCACTCCATCCAGTCTACATCAGCACTTCATCCAGTCTACATCTACACTCCATCCAGTCTACATCAGCACTCCATCCAGTCTACATCAGCACTCCATCCAGTCTACATCTGCACTCCATCCAGTCTACATCTACACTCTATCCAGTCTACATCTACACTCTATCCAGTCTACATCAGCACTCCATCCAGTCTACATCTACACTCCATCCAGTCTACATCAGCACTCCATCCAGTCTACATCACCACTCCATCCAGTCTACATCAGCACTCCATCCAGTCTACATCAGCACTCCATCCAGTCTAAATCAGCACTCCATCCAGTCTACATCAGCACATCATCCAGTCTACATCTATACTCCATCCAGTCTAATCAGCACTCCATCCAGTCTACATCAGCACTCCATCCAGTCTACATCACACTCCATCCAGTCTACATCAGCACTCCTCCAGTCTACTATCTATTCCATCCAGTCTATACAGCATCCATCCAGTCTACATCAGCACTCATCCGTCTACTCAGCACTCCATCCAGTCTACATCACAATCCATCCAGTCTACATCTGCACTCTATCCAGTCTACATCATCGCACTCCATCCAGTCTACATCAGCACTCCATCCAGTCTACATCACACTCCATCCAGTCTCATCAGCACTCATCCAGAATCACATCAGCACTTCATCCAGTTACATCTAACACTCTTCATTATCTACATCAGCACTCGCATCAGTCTACATCAAGCACCTCCATCCAGTCTACATCAGCACTCATCCAGTCTACATCTACACTCCATCCAGTCTATATCAGCACTCCATCAGTTTAACATCAGCACTCCATCCAGTCTACATCAGCACTCCATCCAGTCTATATCAGCACTCCATCCAGTCTACATCAGCACTCCATCCAGTCTACATCAGCACTCCATCCAGTCTATATCAGCACTCCATCCAGTCTATATCAGCACTCCATCCAGTCTACATCAGCACTCCATCCAGTCTACATCAGCACTCTATCCAGTCTACATCTACACTCCATCCAGTCTATATCAGCACTCTATCCAGTCTACATCAGCACTCCATCCAGTCTACATCAGCACTCCATCCAGTCTACATCAGCACTCCATCCACTCTACATCTACACTCCATCCACTCTACATCAGCACTCCATCCAGTCTACATCTACACTCCATCCAGTCTATATCAGCACTCCATCCAGTCTACATCAGCACTCCATCCAGTCTACATCAGCACTCCATCCAGTCTACATCAGTACTTTTGTGAAACCATCATAACTCCAGACAGTTTCGCAATATCAGCTCAATCTCATGTAATATTATTTAACAGTTTTATAGCGAACAAACTACTACCCTCATATATTCCCCTTTACAGCCATGCAATCCACCATCCTCTATATGTTCTCGTTTGCTAACACTTGCTATCCCTTTGTATAGGCTTGGTGTGTGAAATGTTGACTCCTGTGATGACACAGACAGGCCCTCGTTGAATCAGAAACCCCAGCAAAGACAGCGCTCAAACAACTAGCCACTGTGAGCTAAACAATGCTTTTCTACTTGCTATTTGTAACGAAGTATCCTCCTCTTCACACACCATGATGGCATCTCTTGAGGCCCATTTGAAATGCTCAAAATATATTTGTTGTGACATTTAGTTCCAGGCACTAATATCCACTTATCCGTGTATTTATTTCATGGTCTATACTATTTCTGCTTCATTTACTGTATTCAATCGTTTTATTTACACAAACACTCTTTCTTTCCCCCCGTCACGTTTCAGTCCAGGAGCAGCAGAGCCCCTAATCCTTGGGGCCGTGACGTCACAGCTGAAGTAAACTTGGGAAGGTTCTTCCTCCTTTAGTTTCCTAACCCAGGGGAAAATGGGATTAGTACCGCCAGGGGACTTTACTGCAGTGATGGAGTAGACAGGAGACCAATAGAGGCCCAAGGCAGGAGTACACTGACTAAGAGTCTCAGAGACTGGACACTGAGAGACTACCTGGTGGGCTCTTGTGAGAAAACGTACTGGGAGATATGGAGATGCACCCTGACAGATTCAGGGAGGTAGAGAGACTTTCAGAGATTGATTGATTCCGAGAGACATTGAGACTCAGGGATAATCCAAGCCTCTAAGGGACATGGTTGGTTACAGTGAATGGACGTAAAATGGACATGGTGTGCTGTGGTGTGAAAGACTCCCTCTCAGCTCAACAATGGAGTGAGAAGATACATTAGATATATATCTTTGGCAATACTATAAGAAGATCTCTGAGCACCCAGGACATACTTCAGAGAGAGTCCAAGGTGACAGAGGCTACAAAGGTCACTGGACTCTGATTGGCTAAATTAACTGGCTATAGAGAATACCAACATCCACTCACTCCTGACTGGTTATCACGTGATTCTATCCTTGAAACAGGTATGTTTGGAGGAGTTTTCTGTTGGCTGAAGTTGATGATGTTATATCATATTGATACACTTTGAATGTGGCTCATGAATACATTGTGGAGATGTAGTGATATAGGTGCATCTGAATGTAAAAAAAAATATTATCAGAATGGAGAAAATTCTGTCTTAGAGAGAGAGAGAGAGACTAGCATAATGAGAACTCTCTCACAACAGATTGGCTACCCGCACTTTACATTTTTAGAAAGGCTTAGTTAACTGAATACTAGTTAATTCATTGTCGTACTGTGAACTCTTACTCCACAGGTCATACAGAGGCACACTGTGTCTTAACAAGTTGTTCTTTTGGGAGACGGTTTGTGTGACACAAGGTTTTTGGTAAGGTTTGAGTTCATTTTGTGAACTGCTAATGAAGTAAGACTCTCTCTAAGCTCCGTATTCGTCACTGACAGGTAGGTGTCAAGATGCTGGGACACTTTAACGGAATGTTCCATCATAACTCTTATATGAGAGTGTAGTCATGAAAGGTTTCAGTGTGTCACACTTCCAGGTTTATGGAAAACGAATGTAGGTAACAGGATGGAATATTTAAATAAAGCGTTACTAATAATACACGTGGTGGTGTGAGAGCAGACCATTGTGACTGTGATTTGTATTAAAGCCAATGGAAACTATGGAGCACTTGCACTGACTCAAGTGTCTGGTATATTGGCATATTCATGTAACTAAAATATGTATCATGTTGTAGAACTTAGTGATGTGCTAATAAGCCTGTTATTTATTATACACCTACTGTACCTCTCCACATCACACCTCACCAATTTCACACAGCACAGCCGTGTCTCAAAAACAGTATCAGCTAACATTAACAACACATTCTCTATCATAAAAAAATATGTTAACTACATTAACAACACAGTCTCTCATCAAAAAATGACTAACAATAACCCCAGTATTATTACATACTGTATAACGTGGGACTAGTGTTGACCCCTTTTCATCCAGACGCTATATTAGTTAATTGAGTGTGTTTATCTACAGTGTGTGATGAGTGACACCCAGTACCATCCCTCTACATCACCACCATGTATGCTGACTCACTAGGCCTAATCCCCTGTTCTTGCACAGATTTACAAAGTTTGCACAGCCCATTCATGTATGGCCAAGATAAAGAAACGTGATGCTCTCACATTCTTCCACTGTTGTATCTCTGGTAATTTCCTCCCAAGATCATTTTCAGTATAAAGCTAATTTAATAGTGCAGAAATATCACCATAGAGCATACCATAGAGGGTGCAGTCAAATCGCTGTGGTCTAAGGGCCTTTTTCTGATCTAGTGATTATATTTCTATTGAGCATATTACTTTGTACTCGCTGAGAAACTCAATGTTGTTTGCATTATATTGTCACATGATGACAATACTGTATTACTGTTTTTCAGAAGCAGTCCATCCCTGCCTCTCAGCAATGGAGATTGTCACGTCATTGGTGGTCAATGCAACGCCTGAAGACATGAACAGTACCTCCAACCCCCAGTGGGGGGTGCCCTACCTGAAGAAACTAGCCCACTTGGACGAGGGCCTGTACCAGGAGTTCTATGGCCTGTGGGTGACCCTGATGGTGGTCAACACCCTGATGTTCGTGGTGGGTGTGGTCCTTAACAGCCTGACCCTCTGCATCTTCTGCCTGCCCTCCCAGACCTCATCCGCCCCTGTGGTCTATACCATCAACCTGGCAGTGGCTGACTTGTTGGTGGCGCTCTCGCTCCCTGCCCGCATCGCCCTCTACCACAGCGGTGGAGGGTGTCTGGCGTGTTCCTACGTCCACACCTTCAGCTACTTCGTCAACATGTACTGCAGCATCCTCTTCCTCACCAGCATCTGCGTGGACCGCTACATTGCCGTGGTGTGGGCCGGGGCCGGGCGCCGCTGGAGGAGCCCCGGGGTTGCCAAGGGAGTCAGCGCGGGGATCTGGCTCTTTGCCGTGGTGGTCACCTACTCCTTCCAGACCACGGCGCTGGAAATCAAGGCCACATCATGCTGCCGCCTCACCGCCCTCTTCGCCCTGACCTTCCTGGAGTTCCTGCTCCCCCTGGTGGTCATCGTGACGTTCACGCTCAGGGTGGCGTGCGCCCTAACCGAGCCCAGGCTGATGCCTCAGAGCTGGGGCCGGCGGGCCAGAGCGGTCAGGCTCCTGGTGGCTGTCCTGGTCGTCTTCTCCGTCTGCTTCGTGCCTTTCCACGTGCGCCAGGCGCTGGTGTACTTCCGGATGGGGGGTGACAGGGCACAGCAGGTGGTGGCGTACCACGCCACGGTGACCCTCAGCAGCCTCAACAGCTGCCTGGACCCAGTGGTCTATTGCTTTGTGACGGACAGCTTCCGCTCGGCCATGCGCCGGGCCTGCAGGAAGAGGGCAGAGGCGGAGACGGAGAGGACCAGTGGAGGGGACGTGGCCAGTGGACTAAGGAGTTCAAAAGGATCAGGGACAGCCACGGCTATCGCTCACAGTGTGGCCACACTGACTCTCACCACCTGCACCCTGCGACAGATGGAGATGTCTGCATAGAGAGAGGAGAGGAGTGACAGAGGGAGAGAGGAAAATGGATGGAATTGGAATGAGAGAGGGTGTTGCTACTATACTGGCTGGCTATTGTGACTAAGGGAAAGGCCATTGATAAGACTGCATTGGGACTTTAGATCTCTTGAGCTTTTGAAACCCAACAGAATTTACATCCTGGTGTTTGGATTCTGAAGACTCATACAATACTATGCAGTGATAATGAACCTGGACAAGACATGTGATTGATTTGAATCACTAAAAAGCAGTGGCACTGTAATGGAACAGTAGCAGACATTTTTCCAGAAAAAGCGTAAGCTGTTTATTTTAATTTGAGTGTCAATGTTATGTTTTTACATTGAGATTTTTCATATCTCTTGTCACACTTAAAGTTTCTTAACACTTCTGTAACATCCGTAAACAGCACAATAAATACATAATTTGAAAAAATAAAAATAAACTATTCTCGGATCATGATGTAACCAGTTGCACAAAGGGTGAATGGTCCTTACAAGTGCATCCCATCACAGACTACCTTTGTTTATTGCGCCTCCACTTGATTTAATGGACAAATTGGCTCACTTGTTTATCTCACTGCACTGACATGTTTTAGTCAAAGCACTCCTGTGGCTTTCAATGTTCTCCTTGAAAAACATCTCCCTTAAAGCTACAGTATGGGATTCGTAAAACAGCACTAACCATGTTTTGAGGCTAAACAGTTTGTTTACGAACAAGCTTATATTTTGGAGGTTTTGATATGGTGTGACAGTTGAATTAAGCTTGTGATTTATAGTTTATATTCTTCAATAATTCATTTAAAAGTCTAAAAATTGATTTACCAATCCCAGATTGCCCCTTTAACTGTCACTGAGTCAGAAAATATAATGTGGTATTCTAAAGGTAAACACTTTCACGATTTGTTTGGGACATTTATCCATTTAGGGGGAGATGCTGTAGACCAGTGGTTTTCAATCCTAGTCCTGGGGACCCAAAGGGGGGCACATTTTTGTTTTTGCCTTAGCGCTACACAGCTGATTCAAATCATCAATTTATCATCAAACTTTGATGATTTGAATCAGGCAAACAGAAATATGCACTACTTTGGGTCCCCAGGACCAGGATTGAGAACCACTGCTGTAGGCCACCACATTCACTCACTGTGTTCATTATTATTTGGCCACAAGGGGGTAGCATGAGACTTGGATGTTTTCATTTTGATTGCGACTGAGAATAGCCTCTGTTCACGTTTCTGTATTTGGACCTTCTCAGTAAGCATTACTGTTTTATTCCTGGAAAACATACTTCCACATCCTCTATATGTCATTTTCCAAACTCCTACAAGGCCTTCCTGTAAAATGATGCCTGTTACATTCCCATCATGCTCTGCTGTTGGGAGCAAACAGACTCATAACCTCCTGCCGTTTCATTCAGTCTGTGTCCGCTGGTCAGGCTTGTATTTGTGACATTCTTCCACAGGATGTGAACAAGGATCAGTCTGGGCTTTGGCGTTGTTCACACCTAGGTCCTACAGCATGAGTATCGCCATCCCTCCCCTGGCTGTGGCCTGTGGCCAGGTGGTTTGGCTGGGGTGACTGGGGGCCTGACGCAAAGGCCTAGGCAGCAGGTTTGGGGTCAATTCAAATTGTCAATCAATTCAGGCAGTGATTTGAGTAAAATAAAAAATTAAAACCTTTGAATTAAAAAGCTTTTCCTTTTCAGTTTATCGAGAGGTCATTGAAAATAGATGCCCTTTTAGAATTATTGGAATTTCAGTTTACTTCCTAAATAGACTGACTTCAATTCAAATTGACCCCAAACCTGCTAGACAGAGGAACAAATAAGGAGGAGGAGAACCTGAAACTGCCAGGCCAGAATTTTCCACCGCACTCTCTGAGGGTAAGCACGTTTAGAGAACAAATCGTCTGCTGTGAGTTGATTCAGCGTCTTTAATGGAAAGTGATAAAACGGTTTTTCCCCCCAGGCCACAACGAGATCCAGTCTTATCAACAGCTGTGATTCTCTGTGTGGGTTTAGAGGTGAAAGGTGAAGGAAGTTTCGTCTGATATTCAACTGTTATTTACCTGTTGTACATTTCTTTGAAGCTTACTGGACATATTGACACATTCAGAACAGAAGAGGTTAGGACAGGCCTTCTGTTGCGGACGATGTTACCTTGAGCTTGGAAGGACAGAATGAAGGATAGTGTATCTCCGAATCAAATAGGACAGGTTTCAGGCTTGCATGTACACTATTTGTTCAAGCAAAGCCTGACAGGTATTGATGGGAAGGTATCCTATTTGGAGAAAGGCTATTGAACGATCGCTTCTCCAAGGTCAACCTTCCCTACAGTTCAAAGTTATTGTATAATGGTGTGTAGATCAACATACACTACGACTGTGTAGTGATGAGCTTTCATGTCATGAGACATACTGTGTGTATAATGTGACCTCTGTGTGACCCTGCATAGCTATTATACTCTGTTTGTTATCTTTCTTCACACTGGTATCTCTTTCTCTCCCTAAGGAGTGCACGGCTATGCCTCACCAACACGAACTTGATGACTTGATGGGTCACTGAACAGGTTGTGCTGTCACTGTGCTAATACCACCATCTAGGACATGTTCATGTGGCGGAGGGCGGAGGGGGACTAGAAAGCTGCAGGGATTATTACTCAGCTGTTAGTATTGGACTCACGTAATAGATAGCTAACAGTATTAACTGCAGGCTATGCATTGCAGGTGCTCTACAGTTTATTGCAGTGCTACTTGCATTATGACACTGTAGTAGTAATCTCAGTTGGCCATATCAATTCATCTTTGATATGATCTGACCCTCCAGATTACTCTTTGAAACATATCTTATTTATGGGTAAAGCCAATGCCTGACTCCTCGCAATCCATCATTGCAAAGGAAGTCTGCCATAGGCTATTTGTTGGAACTATGGCCACTGTGACACCAATTTAGGTCAGGGACATTCATCCTGAAAGTTTGCTATGCTGTATGACCTACACATTGCGTTATTATGCTGAAGAGACAGCCAAGGTGGTTCGTCAGACTACAAGTAGTATGCTATTGCTTTTACTGGACATATGTAGACATATTAATCATGATTTACCACCATTTAATTGCATTATAACTGTAAAAGGTATTCAGTACCTTTTAGTATGCAAGAACATAGCAATGAGAATGCTCTCCTGATTCTTCCTGGAGTGTCTCAATCTAGCTGCCTTAGCCAATGACTATTTTAAAAAAAAATTTTTAAACAGAGAGGAAGTGAATGAATTTACTCAAGTTGATTTACAAAGCTGCAGTAGGTCAGTAAGATTCACTCACACAGTCATGCACGCACACACAGTGGCGGAAAAAGTACCCAACTGTCATACTTGAGTAAAAGTAAAGATACCTTAATTGTCACGGTCGTCTATGTCGTCTAAGTAAGACCAAGGCGCAGCGTGTCCAAGAAACATGACTTTATTAATTAAAGTATCCAATATCCAAAACAAAAGACGACTCAATGAAGTCCACGGTACACAGACCGAAACGGAAACAAAAACCCACAATGCCCACAGGAAAACATACAGAATAAATATGGCTCCCAATCAGAGATAACGAGCCGACAGCTGTCACTCGTTACCTCCGATTGGGAGTCACATGAATACAAACAGGGAAGACAACCACCTAGACACCCCAACCAAACAGCACACAACAAAACGAACACACCCTATACCCAACCTAACCCACACAACACCCAACAATACAAACACACCCTGGTTCATAAACAACGTCCCGGAACCAGAGCGTGACATTAATAGAAAATGACTAAAGTAAAAGTGAAAGTCACCCAGTAAAATACTACTTTAGTAAAAGTCTAAAAGTATTTGGTTTTAAATATACTTAAGTATCAAAAGTAAAAGTATAAATAATTTCAAATTCCTGATATTAAGCAAAACAGAAGGGACAATTTTTTATTTTTTATTTTTTACATGCCAACACTCAGACATAATTTACAAATGAAGCATGTGTGTTTTGTGAGTCCGCCAGATCAGAGGCAGTAGAGATGACCAGGGATGTTCCTTTGATAAGTGTGTGAATTGGACAATTTTCATGTCCTGCTAAGCATTCAAAATGTAACAAGTACTTTTTGGTGTCAGGAAATATGTATGGAGTAAAAAGTGCATTATTTTCTTTAGAAAAGTTGCGAAGTAAAAGTAAAAGTTGTCAAAAAATATAAATAGTAAAGTAAAGTACAGATATCCCCATAAACTACTTAAGTAGTACTTTAAAGTATTTTTACTTAAATACTTTACACCACTGCACACAAACGCACACAAACATTGCATTCTGTTTAAAAATAACACTCAACGCTCCTGCTTCATTGACTTCAGTTAGCTTCACATGGTTCAACAGGGTCAATATAGGAAGGCAAACGGCCTGTCTGTCCCTATACAACAGAGCTGGACATTGTTATATAAATGCATAAGTAGGCTAGCAGAAGTTGTATTTTCTTTGTGGTCTCATTGTTTTTTCACAGGTCCGTCCCAAATAGCACCCTATTCCCTGCACAGCACATTACTTTTGGCCAGGGCTGATCAAAAGTAGTGCACTACATAGGGAATATGGTGCTATTTGCGACAGACCCCGTTTTTTCCACACCTTTAGACCCATTTAATGAGATCGTATGTATTAACTCCATAGACTTTATAAGGTATTTAGAAACGGAGGAAACTGAGACACTGTGGGTGTTGGCCCACACCAATAAGAGTGTTGAATAGTTGCCATCATGTTGAAAGATCCTGCATGCTGGCCGCTCTGATGAACTCTAATTGTGCCACAGAGTCATTACTTAAGAACTACAGATCATATCAAGTAAATCAATTGCTATTTGCATGTGAAAATGTAATGGTATGCATTTGTTCAATTGTTACCATTTTTTGTTGGTGGCCCAGTTTTTAAGAGTGTTGCCAAAACGAGTGTGGCTTTAAGCTTCCCCATCACGAGCTCCTCAAACC